TATAATTATAAATATTTTCTGGTATTTGAAAAACACACTTACTTTGGTAGGATTCGAACTCGAGACCTCTGGATCGTGAGCCAACTGCCTTACGTGGTAGACTACTTCTTAATTTGATGTAAGTGTTATATATAGTCTACATGTGTCATACCAGCGCAAATATATAATTTTTCAAAAATTATCTTAAGAAACAAATTCAGTTTAAAAAAAGTAATAAAATTTTGAATTGGATATAAGAATGATATCCGCAGTACTAATTCAAAACTTGTACACTTTTATCACGACGAATTAGTACAGACCTTCATATAAAATGTATTTGTGCCTTACTTTTATCTCTCTTCCTTAATATTATCAGGAATTACCCATTATAATGTTTCTATACAAATTGTAGTACTGGTCAGTGATTAAATTTCACATGGAATATTCAGTTCAGTACTTGAGTATTAACATTAAAATACTGGCCAGTGATTTATTACACATGGAATCCTCGGTCCAGTATTTCAGTACTAACATTGAAATACTCATCAGTAATTTAACACAAGTATTTATTACATAAGTATTTATCACCTAGTATTAAATGCTTTCTCATCAGAAATTTAATACTAAGTATTCAATACTCGTCCTGTATTAAATACTACTTTCATAAATTACTGACCAGTAATAAAATACTGTGCAATACTTGAATCACAGTGATTCAAGTACTAATAAATACTTAATTTTAGTATTATTAATACACAAAATAAGTATTTATTACTAACCAGCTAGTAATACTTTTTTGTAAGGGCAATTTCCTATTAATTACAGTTATCAGTGACCAAAAATCGGTTTGTTACTAAAAAGTGTCGGCTGACATCATGGCCAAAATAAAATTGTTAATAATATAATTGTTACAAACTAATTGTTCACAAACATTAAAAACTGACTCACAATCAATCACAAACGATTTACGAACAAAATATACACTTATGGCTTCTGCACACAGGACGCGGAAACGCTTGCCGCGCGACAAGAAGCGACGCGGTAGCCAATAAACTTTTGGTTCTTACGAAAAAGCAACACGTTGATAGGCTACCGCGTCGCTTCTTGCCGCGCGGCAAGCGTTTCCGCGTCCTGTGTGCAAAAGCCATTAAAAAAATTAAAAATTATCAAATTTAGTAATTTGTGTCGGCTAGCTTTACAGAGATCAGAGGTCAGAGGGGGTCAATCATGAATCTTTTCCCCTAGGGTGGAAACGTAAAAAATGAAAAATCTCTCTTTCTATTGATGTTAAATAGAAAAAGATAGTCATATAAAACTTTTCACTTTTCACGTTCTACTTTAATACATGATTGACCCCCAGGGTAGCGATCATGTAACTTTTTTTCTAGAGCGGAAACGTGAAAAATGAAAGTTTCATGTAACTATCTCTTTCTTTCTATTGGTGTTGAATAGAAAGAGATAAACCTTTCACTTTTCACATTTTCGTCTTAGGGGAAAAGATACATGATCGATAGGTCAATACGGTGGTTGTTCGTTCCGAATTAGGGTGCATCCCCATGGAGAAAGAAATAGCGGAACGGAATTAAAACGGAATTCCTTTGATTGGCTAATATCCCATCTTGAGAGTCCCAACCTAGAGATTAGCCTATCAGCGTCATTCAGAGTAATTCCGTTTTAATGAGGTTCCTTAGTGAAAGCTAGCATAGAGTGCAGCACCATATCAAAATTGGTAGTATTCCGCGCGAGTTTCAAACACCAATTGTTAACATATGGGAAAAATCAGTATTGTAATAAAAATATTATGACTATATGTCAATCGATAATGTTAGTTCGCATTCATTAACTGAAATAACTCTGTTACAATTTGGTTCGCCGGGTAAAGAGTATATATTAGACATAATAACGATATTGACGATCTATTTTACCGATCTTGTAAAATCCTTCTTTTTCTCCGTTACTTTTGCTCCCCGAGAACGGAGCTCTTTTTTTAATTTTTCTACAGACCACTTTGCGTATTTTTTGCCACTCTATTATTATCACAATTTTTTTTTTATTCTTTTGCTGCTTTGAAATTTGCGCCGTTAGCTGTCAGGCACAGTGGCTCCCCTGTGCGGGAGCAAAAGTTTGTGAGGAACCTCCCGAACCTCATTCCGTTCCGCTATTTCTCTCTCCATGGGGATGCAGCCTTTTGAGAGTCTCTAGTAATATATAGAAGTCTGTAGGGAAAATGGAATTATTCCAATCGGAATCCATTCCAAACAGTTCATAAAATAGGTGCCCGAAATGCCCTGACTACTTCGATCGATGTGGACGCAGGCGGACACGGTTTCTTAACACGATGAATCGTTTAAGTTTAACGTTGACAATTTTTATGCTCCTTTTACACGGAGAAAACCGGCGCGATTTATCTTCAGTTTAAATGCGCGACGTACCGAGATGACTAATTTACGTGGACTTCGACTTTCGTTATGGTTTTGGTTTGACGTTTTGCTGCGTGTCTTTCTGGCAGTGCTATTCGTGTAAGTTGACGCCTCATAGTAGACGGTAGTTAAACAATCAATATGTTACAATTAGCGACATGTCATTAAATTTAATGTTCAAATGTCAGTCTATAGTAATTAGTATTAATTAGTAGTATTAATTAACATTAATTAATAGTAATCATAATGGTATTCAGAATTTTATTCATATTATATTTTTATTTTAAAAGCACAAGTTTTGAAACTCTTTTATTGATAATTATATTAATATAATTTGTAAAGTATTTTATAGGTAAGTGTATAAAACACTATAGTAGCCACAAGACATGGATTAAATAAATGAATAAATATAATATAATAGAATAGTAGAAGTTTTATCCATATTATATCTTTACATAAATTTTATGACTCTTTTATTGATATCTATGTTAATATAATTTTTAACAAGTAGCTGTGATTTTTTGAGAAATAACATATATTACACTATAAATATAAATTATTTTTGATATTGATTATTACTATGTCTGAAAAACAATTGTTCTTTTTTATTATAAATGCCAATTAAACATAAATGCTGCAAATGTGCTTTCGACTTTCAGGGAGCTGGAAAAAGCAGAACCATTTACAAGAAAAATTCATGAAGATGAACTATGGTTATACAGAAATCCAAGAACAGAATCTTTTGTTCCAACTACAGTATTATGGGTAGGTGTATATCTAGAGAGATTTTAATAAATAGGATTAACAATAAAATATAAGTAGAATATTATCTCGTAAATAATATATATTAAACAAAATGTTTTTTTTTCCAGCCTCTTGTGTTTATGATGCCTATTGTCGTTATTTGCTTCTTTTTCATGATGCATAAAGATAAAGTCGATCTTCAACAGTCAGTATTGTCTGTGACGTTAGCCCTAGGATTTAACGGTCTTGTTACAGACATTTTGAAACTTATAGTAGGTGGGTTATTATCGAAAGGTTTGAGTGCAACAGATTTGCGTCAAATAACTCAATAAGATTTGCAGTTTTAATAACATTATCCATATAATGATTGATTTTATTTATCGTTTCATCATATTCCTCACACTTTTAGGTCGTCCAAGGCCAGATTTCTTCTGGCGGTGTTTTCCAGATGGACAAATGAATCCAGGATTTAAATGCACTGGAGATCCGGTAGTTATTAGGGACGGAAAGAAGTCATTTCCAAGCGGACATTCCTCGTGTACGTCAATATTGGCAGTGATAGTAGTAAATTGAGATATTTCTTATATATGAATAAGTACAGTGACACAAAAGTTCCAAGAATTTTTTTGAAAACATTAAGCAGCTACAAATTGGTTCACAAAAAACATCTACACTTTAAACAGAACATAAAACTTTATTAGAACATTAATAACAAAATTAAACAAAGAAAATTACAATAAACGCTCAAAATTTCCTTTGGTTTTAATACATTTTCGAAGCCGGAAAATTGTTCACGATGGTCGCGCACTGCTAGATGATAATTTTATCCCAGGTATGCCACAGGGCCACTTTAAGAGATTCCATTGATTTAAAGCGAACTCTATAGATCTGCTCCAAGCTGGACCACACGGAAAAGTCCATCAGGTTCATTCGGCGAATTTGGCGACCAAATATCTTTGCCTCCCAAAAAAACCAGGAAATAGCTCTTTGCACATCGCGATTGTTTGCGCTGAATATTGTTCAGAGAACGGTCTCTTAGTAGCTGGCAGCATTGATTTCCACATTTCTTTCGATGAAAATTAATGGTGTCTTACACCCGTCGCGCAGATGTCTGTCCAGCCACCAGCTACCAAGATATCGTTCTTCGAGGCGTTTTGGAGTCATGGACATCGGAGCATTTCGAAGAAGGGTTTACGCTCTAGCAAGATTGAGCACCAGCTCATTCGGCACGAATGCAACATGCAAAGAGTTGTTTTTGGGGCAAGAACGTTTGGTCATCAAACTTGCTGGATTTGAACCCAAAGGATTTTTCTGTGTGGTCCAGCTTGGAGCGGATCTCTGGAATTCGCTTTAAATCGACGGAGTCTCTTAAAGTGGCCCTGCCTGTGTACCTAGGATGATCACCAGGGATTTACCATCATGAATAATTTTCTGAAGTGGATTCAAAAAAGTATTAAAGCCAAAGGAAACAATTTTGAGCATTTATTGTAATTTTCTTTGTTTAATTTTGTTATTAATAATGTTCTAATAAAGTTTTATATTCTGTCTTTAAAGTGTAGATGTTTCATTTGTATATCGATTTTTAGCTGGTTAATATTTCAAAAAAAAATTTAGAATAGCCAACTTAGATTAGAATTAACAAACGTTGGAAATAGTAGCTCTTAGTAAAGAACACACAAAGATAAGATAACATATATTTCTATTTGCATAAAAATATATAGAAGATTATATTCAGATTACAATAATTTCCATTGCAGTTGCGTTCGCCAGTTTCGGTTTCATTGCCTTATATTTAGCCGGAAAGTTGCACACATTCAGCTTGGCGGGAAAAGGACAATCGTGGAGACTGTGCACGTTTCTTTTACCGCTCTGCGTCGCTCTAACTATCGCGTTAAGCAGAACGTGCGACTATCACCATCACTGGCAAGGTGATCTGCATTTGAAACTTCATTGTTAAAGTAATATGATTCCATTACAATTTTGTATTACAATTTAACACGGAATTTGTTTCAGACGTGGTAATAGGATCAGTAATAGGCTACTGCTTAACACACGTCTGCTACAGACATTATTACCCTCCGTTAGATTCGCCGTATTGCGACAAACCATACGTCGCGCTTACGTTACAAGTTCAATCGGACAACGTCAAGTCTAACAAAAACGAGCAAATTAAGTGGATATAAAAAAGTCAAAATTATTACTGCATATACGCCATATATGGTATTTTAAACGGTACTTAATACTTTCGTTAAAATCTTTGAGATCTATATATTTTGTGTACCAATATATACATCTAAATAAATGTATGTCTATACAGAAACAAATTCAAATGTATTGGTAGAATTTATTCTATGATTAATATATGTATTATAGATCTGTTCGTTTCAGCTGCATTATTTATGTTGTATCTCCTACCCAGACAGCACAAAATTTATGAATATTTATGATAAATATTTATAAATATTTTGAAAATTTATTTTCCAAAAATATGTAATAAATATTTTATAAAGATTTTTCATAAAGGTTTTAGAATAATACAAAAATTATTACTAACAATATATAAAATATATTTTAGGAATGTATGAAAAATATTTCTTGTATATAAACTGAAATGTTTTTTTATATCTTTTGGCAATATAATATAAATATTTATTATAAACATTTCGATCAATATTCGGTTGCTTCAGTTGTTGGTCGACCGACGATGAAATTATCGGGTGGATTTGACAGTTCTAATCACAAAGCTATCGTATAGCCTTGTCTTTATGCTGTGCGGCATTTCTACTAAATGGAAGCAGGTTGGTGGCTATTTTGATATCAAATTCATTCACGAGAAATGTTTGACAAAATTATAGCAATTATCCAAAAGGCATATGATATCGGATTACAAGTAAAAGCAATAATTTCCGACATGGGACCGCAGGATAGGAGTTGGTGTAAGATTATGAATATTACAGCTGATAAATTTAGCAAGATTATTAATTCTATTCCACATCCGTGCAATAGAAAAGACAAATTGTTTATTATGCCAGATTCCGTTCACGCCGCGTTTTCAAAAATGTTGCGTGCTCATTAACATCAGGTCACAAATTTTATTTAGACGAAATGTTAGTTTAAAAGTATAACTTACCAGACAACGAAATTTCTATTATACTTATTCGCGAAGTATTTAATTTAGATCAACAAGATCCGTTGAAACTGTGTCCATATCTTAAGGAAAATGCAATAAATCCATCCCATTTCGATAAAATGAATGCGGCCGTGTAAGTTTGTTGAATAACAATATTGCTACAGCTATATTGTACCACATAGCCAAGGGCAACATTTCTGATAAACATAGAACCACCCAGATAGCCAAACCTGAGCAGCAGATTCTAAGCAGAGTCTGCATTAAATTTTTGGTATCAGAAAGGCAACAAATTGCACGCGGAAACTGCTCTATCAGCTAGATGATGTTGTCAAACTGTAGCCAGAAATGCGACAGAGCCTGCTGACAGGCAATATGAGCAGATTGGCAGCAGAAACCGCGCAGAGCCTGCACACATACTTGGCAGCAGATTGACAACAAAGATCGGACAGAGCCTGCGCATATGACTTGAGAACAGAGTGGCAGCAAAAACCGAACAGATCCTTTCCGTGATAGTTTGCAACGACGCTACTAAGCGGCGCATAATGGTAAGACTAACTCGTAAGTAAATTTCAGTTGAGGGCTAATATAAGCAGGCCTCCTGCGAAGCAAAATCATAACATCCACGAGACATATCTTTGTCAGCAATACAACGCAAGGCTCAACCAAAATTGCTGCAATGATATAGATATGCAAAATAATATTTTCTAAAATAAGATGTAAAGTATATTGTGTGTAATGTATATTTTTTAAATATTAAAAAAATCTTTCAAACGAAACATTTATTGCTTTGGGTTAAACATATATGTATATATATATTTTATTTTTCGAAGCAATATTTCTGATAGAAAGATTTTACAAATATTATTGTATATATTTATTTGCAATCTTTTAAAAATATTTTCGAAAATATTTTTCTGACATAATCTGGCGGACATAGAAACATTTAAAAAATATTTTTGTAAATTATTTTAATCTTTCTAAAAAATATTTTGTGCTGTATGGGTATGGATAAAGTCTGCTCGGTTTTTGCTGCCAATCTGTTCTCAGGTCGACCGTGCAGGCTCTGCTCGGTTTTTGCTGCCAATCTGCTGCCAGGTTTTGTATGCAGGCTCTGCGCGGTTTTTGTTGAAAATCTGCTTACATTGCCTGTCAGCAGGCTCTGTCGACAGAATACGAGCTTAATGCGGACACAGATGGCTATGGTTTTGGTGTGGGATTTTGATCAAATTTGCTGCCAATCTGCGCGCATTCTGCTAACATTTTGCTATCTGGGCACTGCCTGCAATGGTTTCTCATTATATGAATTATGCATATTAAGACCCCACTCGCCAATGACCTTGACTCACCTTGACTTTGACATATGTTGTCAAGGTCACTCTCCTGAGTGACCTTCAGAAGTTTTTAACCGGCGGTCGTTATTCGTTAAAAAGTTATTAACAAAAAAAGTTTGAAAAATATAGCAGCTATTTTGAGTATTCGAAGGCATAAACAACTAATATTTTTTTTTTTTTTTAAAGCAGAGAATATTTTATTTCGCGAGAAGTCGCTGCTTTACCAAAACACAACATTTAAAGCAGTAAATTGTTAATAAATTGAAGTCTTTGTTAAAGCAGAGAATACTTTATTTCGCGAGAAAGTCGCTGCTTTTAGTAAAGCAGCAACTTTCACGCGAAACGAGATATTCTCTACTAAAAAAAAAAAGACGTAATATTGGTCGTTTTATGCCTCTCAATACTCAAAATAGCTGCTATACATTTTCAAAACTTTTTTTGTTAATAACTTTTTAACGAATAACGACCGCCGACTAAAAACTTCTGAAGGTCACTCAGGAGAGTGATCTTGACAACATATGTCAAGGTCAAGGTCATTGGCGGGTGTATGGATAATTGCCCTTGCTTTACTTGTTCAACACGTACAACGTTATCAATGTCATATGTTACAATGTTTATTTGTTTCAGTCAAAGAGGTTTCAGTTATAAAATAATTTGTTAAACGTTTATTCGGGAACACTAGCGCCTTCTTTTAACATGAATAAAAATCTATATTTCGACTAGGTACATATAGTTTATAAATAATTAATTAAAATTATCTGGATGACTCACAAACCTTTTTAATCACACTTCATAACTCTTAAATTCATACGAAATACAAACGATTCGATACAAAAACTTTGTTTAATTTATCTATTCCGGCTAAGTGCATGGTGAAAAAATGATTAATTAATTACAATTAACTGAATGACTCACAAACCTTTTCAATTGCACTTCAAAAGTCTTCATACGAAATACAAACGATTTCATATGTATAGATTCTTTACCGGACATTCATTTCCGGTCAAATACATACGAATGCTGCTCACTGCTGCTACATTTCACTGCCCATGAAAACCTACCTTAAGACCATAATCTATTTGATTTTCAGAAATACATAATTCATTTAAATCTTTTGCTCTGGCTACATTAGTTAGCAAATCAAACATGGTAACAATTTCATCAGGGATAATTATTGTTTTATTTTTTTTAAAACCTTGATTTATATTTTTCAAGGCATGAGCACAATCATGAAAAAAGAAGAGCTTACGACTTTTGTCATTTAGGGTGTTGACAGGAATTGATTATTGTACTATGCCTCGATACATTAATTCCAAATAATTTCCACATTGTCATATTTGCTGATCCCATGTCAAATGTGACACTGAACCCGTAATCCTATATTTTCAGTTTTTTTGATAATATCGCAAATAATTGATTTAAAGTTATTACCGTCAGCAGAATCACCTGTAAAATAATATAAACCCACGATCTGCTTCCATCACCTGCTAGCAATACCAGCTAATATAAATACTAATGCCTTCGAAGCAAATTTTTTTTATTGCTATATTATTATACATATAATTCTGCAGAACCTGCAGAACCTGCAGAACAACATATGAATTTGTTGAAATATCAAATGATCTAGGAATCATAGACATTTCATCTAGAACCGACATACATATAATGTTTATCAATATTACTTTTAAAAGCAGACATTTTAATTTGGAGAAATTCGAATATTTCTTCTAATATATCCCGTTTGTAAATTTGACATTTTCCAGTTGTCGGCGTAGCGTTCTTAGTGAAGATAATGACAGATCGCAGCTTATTTCTTCATATCTCGAACGATCACACATAAATTTATATCTTAATGCCTTTTTTATGGTTTCATTATCCCAAATTGGAACTTTTTGAATTCGCCAGTTAATAATTTAATTTGATTCTTATAGTTAAAACTTTATGAACAGCACTTTCTATTCAAGTTCTACTACTTTTATTTACTTCTTGCAGTCTTTTAATTTTGTAATTATAGCATTTTTTTATTTTCTTTGAGTTTTGCTTCCTCATAGAGAAAGCTTTTTGTTTTCGTTAAAAAAAAATTTTTTTTTTGTTTTTCTGAATGTGTTCAGAATGTTCTAAAACGTCGAAAAATTGCAATTTTAAAAAATATCTGTATGTATGTATGTGTGTATGTGTGTGTGTATGTGCCAAATTTATCGAAAATTTATATAACTCCAGAACTAATCAACCAAATCTTAACGAGTTATATATGAAATAGAGGTAGAAAAAACTGAAGAATATAATAGAATTAATAAAAATTGCTAATAATCAAGGGGTTCTTTTTTAATAAAATTTTGAATTTTTTCAGAAATGTTTGTTTATGCTTTAACTTCCGCAAATTTGGAGATATCAATCTATTTCTAATTTTATTGTATTTTTCAGTCTTTTCTACCTCTATTTTATATATAATTTTATAAGATTTAGTTAATTAGACCCAGCTTTATACGCGATCAAAGGTCCATAATTTTGATCGCATATAAAGCTAAGTCTAATTAACCGAATTTAAAAGAATTATATGTGAAATAGGGGTAGAAAAAACTGAAAAATATAATAAAATTAGAAATAGATCGATATCTCCAAATTTGCGGAAGTTAAAGCTTCCTCTATGAGGAAGCTATGTGCAAATTTCTAATTTGCACAATTTTTAATATTATTTAATAACGTTATGATTCTTTCTGTGCATGCCAGGGTCGTAATACCTCTCTTTGGCAGAATGGACTCGATTAAAGATTTCACGAGAAATAGACGAAGGTTGTAAGAAATTCGTGTTGGTCTTTCACCGTTACATAAATAGGCATCTTTATATTTTTGGATAAATTGC